GTATGTTTGTGTGAGTTTATTGTATATATGTGGGTGTATATATTGCGGTTGTTGTTGTTGTATGCGTGTGTATTTTGTGTATTTTCTCTCTCTTTCTCTGTGTGTGTGTGTGCGCGTGTATATATATATATGTGTGTGTGTGTGTGTGTGTGTGTGTGTATGTGTTGTATATACGTGTTGTGTGTCTTGTTAACTATGATAAGAATGTGATGATGATGACGATGACGATGATGAAGACAACGATGATGAATATAAACAGCCTAGGTGTAAATTTGAAAATGTACATTTTATATTTATTTATGGGAAAATATAAGTCATTGCAAATATATGGTCGTCTGTGTATTTTTATTACTGTGAGTGTGTGTCTCTCTCACTCTTTCTTTCCCTTTCTCTCTCTTTGTGTGTGCGTGTGTGCGCGCGTGTGTGTGTGTGTGTGCGTGTGTGTGTGTGTGTGTGTGTGTGTGTGTACTTACCACCAATGGTATAATACCTGAGTGTTGCTTACTTTTGAAGTTTCATCAACAGTATAAATTGCAAAATGAAATTCATCATCATCATCATCTTCATCGTCATTATCATCATCATCGTCGTCGTCGTCAAAAGTTACATTTTCATCATCATTCATTATTCATCTTTATCATTTTTATCATCATCAACATCACCATCACCCAGGGTTAGAAAGAAAGAAAGAACGAAAAAAAGAAAAAAAGAAAAGAGTGAAAGAGAGGGAGAGGGAGAGAGAGAGAGAGAGAGGAGTGAAGAAATATATAAGCTAGTTTGTTTCAAAGAAGAAACTGCAAATGAAATGATACATGTTTGAAATTTGAATTCTTGATAACATTCAACTGCCATCAATTAAATATTATTAAATGGCACTATTGTTTTATTATTTGTTGGGATAAACGATCAATAAATAATAATAATAATAATAATAATAATATAATTAATAATAATAACAACAACAATAATAATAACAGTAATAATTAACCATGTCGAAATCGTCATCATCAGCAGCAATAATATCAACAACAACAACAAATAAACTATTATTATTATTATTACTATTATTATTATTATTTGCGATATTCACGCAATTATCGTCGTCAGTGTTTTTGGAACATGAAGGTTCCAAATTAATACACTTTGAAAAACCTTCTAGTAATAGTGAAACGAATTCGAAACATTGTCCTAATATGGAAAACCATCACCAGCAACAACAACAACAACATCATCATCAACAAAAACAACAACAACATCATCATTGTCAACAACAAAAACAACAACATCAGCAACAACAATTAAACTCATTGCATCGTCGTCATGGTCATTTTCAATATTTTAATAATGATTACAACAACAACAACAACAAAAACAACAACAACAACAATAATAATAATAATCATTATCATAATAGCTGCTACACAAAAGATGGACGAGCTATATTTTGTGAACCAGCGTTAACAAATATCGCACTGAATAAAAAAATTACTGTTTGTAATAATTGTGTTAGTATTATTATTATTATTATTATTAATTGATTGATTGGTTAATTGATTGATTGGTTAATTGATTAATTGGTTAATTGATTAATTGGTTAATTGAATGATTGAATTATTTTTTCTGCTCGAATAAATTTAACCTTAATTATTTTCATCCAATCAACAGTCACCTAAATTGTGTAGGTTGAAGTTCAGAGGGTCAAACGCCAAAGGGTCAAGTATAAAAAGGTCAAATGTCAATGACCCTGTAACCTGCTTAACGGACAGTCACGTGATTTCGAACCCCACTTGTTGGACAGTGGATTTGATTGACAGGTGGATGCGTGAAAATGATAGAAATTATCATAAGAAGAGTGTGAAAAAAGTGAGGGTGATTTTGTGGATTGATCTTTTTGGTGATTGAAGGATTAACTGGTTGCTTGGTTGAGTGATTGGTTTGTTAGTTGGATGGTTGATTGGTTGATTGATTGTTGATGATTTATATTTGTAAATGAGCAAATAATAGAAAGAGAAAAAATTGGAGAAAGAAAAGCGTTCTGATTGGTTGATTTATTTGTATATATTTCATTTGAGTTTACTTTAAATGCTGCAGATGGACAAGTCGGCCACGAAACTGTTGAAGAAGTTGAGTGCTACAGAAAGAATTACAATGAAGAATAATACGAATAATAAAAAAAATAATAAAATTAATTATGAAATACAACAGCAACAATACAACAACAACAGCAAAAACAACAACAACAATAATAATAATAACATCTACAACATTACACTAACGATAAACTTCAACAGCAGATACGAACTTAACTCCATAGCAGTAAGCTGTTGTCCAAACCGGTACCGAAATCGATACAAAATACCGACCGATATACCGATTGCGATATTGAAAAGCGCTGACTACGGCAAAACATGGCAGCCGTACCGCTACTATTCAGATGATTGTTCTCGGTTTTTCGGCGCGAACAGTCAAGCGAAGGTATCGTGCTCGAGTTTGGAGAAAAGTTTATCTAGGACTGTCCATAGCAAGGGCGATGCTGATGTTCATGACAATAACAATGACGTAATAAACAAAAAGGACATCACTAACAACAGTAACAACAACAACAACAATTATATCAATAATAATAATAATATACCAATTTTGAAATTCTCCTTATCAAATGATAGAACGACGGCCAAGCATCTCGAATCGAATTCAGCGCTACAACATTTTATTACCGCCACAAATATCAGAATCATATTTTACGTCCATTCTCCATCGTCGACGTCATCCGTGACGTCATCGTCGTTGTCGACATCATCATCATCATCACCATCATCCTCATCATCATCAACATTTACAAGACGGTTATCATTATCTGATGTAGTTATATTGGCTAGGTGTATGTGTAATGGACACGCCAGTGCATGTTTACCTAATAGTAGTAGTAGTAGTAGTAGTAGTAGTAGTAGTAGCAGTAGAAGTAGCAGCAGTGGCAGTAGTGACCGCCTAGTTTGCCAATGCGAACACAATACGATGGGCGATGAGTGCAATGCATGCAAACCATTCTATCAGGACAGACCGTGGCGAAGGGGTGACCTCGAAGACTCCCACGAATGTCAAGGTCAGTTCTGGTCAAGGTTACTTTACACTTAATTCATTTATTTTTTTCATTTATTCATTCATTCATTCGTTCATACATTCGTTCGCTTATTTATTCAAGTCTGCAGCTGCCATTCTCATTCTCACCGATGTCGCTTCAATGCCGACTTGTACCGAATATCCGGATTGAAAAGCGGTTCTCTGTGTATCGGCTGCAAGCACAACACTGCCGGGAAACACTGCCATCACTGCAAAATCGGATATCACAGAAACCAAAAGCTAAAGATAGAAAGTGCCTTTGCCTGTATAAGTAAATTTTTGACTTAACCCTTTTGTATGAAATTTTATTTTAAATAAATAAGTGAATTTGTATTAAATTTGTCAAAAAATCTAAATAAACAGAATGCGATTGTCACGTGATAGGATCACGTGATCCGATTTGTGACCACGTGACTGGTCAGTGCACCTGCAAGACGGGGGTGGGGGGTCTGAGGTGTGACGTTTGTCTCGAGGGCTACGTTCAGACGAAATCGCCTGTTAATCCCTGTCTGAGTTGGTAGATTGATTGAATGAATGAATAAATGAATGAATGAATGAGTGAGTGAATGGATAAATGAATGATTTAATAATGAACGTATAAAGGAATGAATTAATGCCTAAATAAACCGTTGAACAAACGAATGTCTGAAAGGATGAACGGTGTTTAAATTGAACGAACCGAACGAACGAACGAACGAACGAACGAACGAACGAACGAAAGAATGAACAAACAAACAAACGAGCGAATCCATGAATACATGAATGAATGAACAAAAGAAGGAATAAATAAATGAAAGAATGAAGGAATGAGTGAATTAATTAATTTACTCAATTATTATTAACCGATTTAACTAGAGGTTGTACCAAAACATGATAAAGGCAATACTCGCAAACGAAATTCTAACTATAACACAGGTTGCAATAATAATAACAATGACATAATAATAATAATAATAATAATAATAATTATTATTATTATTATCATAAAGTTTCTTGCCGACAATGTCCTAAACGCGAAAAAAGGCTGATGAAAGGTGATTTCTGCAAGAGCGAATATGGTATGAGTTTGTTTTGTGATGGTAATTAAATGGTAATAGTGGTTGCTGCTGCAGTAGTAGTAGTAATAGAGTAATAGTAGTAGTGGTAGTAGTAGTAGTAGTAGTAGTAGTAGTAGTAGTAGTAGTAGTAGTAGTAGTAGTAGTGGCTGTAAAGTTAGGTAGTAATAATAATAATAATAATACTTCATCATCATTGAACAGTTATCAGGGCGAGAATAGATAACATCTATATTGTCACCGACAACAACAACAACAACAAAAACAACATCAACAACAACAATAATAACAATAGCTCAACGCACGTCACAGCATTCATCGAGCACAGTTACAAGCATCCTGACGGAAAGGTTAAAAATAGAAAGTGGGAATTCCAAATTGAAACTGGGAAATTCCAATGTACTTGCCCGAACAAAATGAAAGTATGAAGCATGAAGTTGTTTGGGGATATTACTGCATTCTCAATTTAAATTAATATTAATTTTATTATAAATTATTATAGTAATTATAAGTATATGAAAGTTTTATTTTTTTCTCAATGCATACATTTTTATTCAAGATTAACTCGACTTACTTATTGGTAACCCGGAAGTCTTCAATGAGGCCACAGATAACAAGGTCAAGCAATGACCTTGTTGGGTTAAACAATGACCGGATTGTGGATGATTTCGATTACGTAACTCTTTGGGACGCCACTTGGTTTGATAGGTTAATAAAATTAGTTAGATACCAACAGCGTGGAAGGTGTTTTGCTTAGGAACCTTTGTAGGATTTAAAAATAATAATAGTTTTTTTGTTTAATATTTGGATATCGTTCTATCGTTGTTGAATTTTATTTATTTTATTTATTCATTCATTCGTTCATTCAATCACTATTTGTTTAGTGGGTAAAAATTACTTTTGATCATTAAGTTGGGTAAATATTGAGGATAAATAAAAAAAAACTGACTGAACGATGGCATGATTGAATGAATTATAAATGAATGAATGAGTGAATGAATTATGAATGAATGAATGAATGAATGAACAATTGAAAGAATGAATGAGTGAATAATTGATTGATTAATGATTTGGATTCTTCATTTTTTTCTGCCATTTCTATAAAATATCTAATTTCTTTGCGGTGCACATAATAAAAATTGCGCTACACAAATAAACATGGCGCCGCTATTGAGTGAGGATAATGATTGATAAATTGATTGATTGAAAAACTGATTTATTGACGGATTGATTGACGGACTGATTGATTGAATAAGTGGACGAATAAATAATTTTAACAGACTGTTTGATAATTTATTGAACCGAGTCTTTGTGTGAACAGCAACAATAATAAAAACAAATAACAATAATTGATAATATTATCATAATTATTATTATTATAAATGCAAATAAACACATACAAATGTACACATACAAATAGGCATACATACGATGTTCACAGGGGCTGGTTCTCGGGGCCCCCTTCCATTTGTGTTGTACGCTCATTGCAGATGTCTTCAAAATCTTTGACAGATATAATTTCAAACATCACGGCTTTGCCGATGATATTCGGATTATTGAATTTTGATGATAACATGTCTTTTAACGTTTATACAAGAACAGTTTCGAATCATCAAACGCATCTATAAGCAAGCATTCTCTTCAATGTCTTGTTCATTTCTTTATCCATTCAAGAATAGACTATTGCAATAGTCTATATACGGCCTGTCTGCTGTAAATTGTCAGTCTGTTCACAATTGAGCTGCAAGGTTGGTTTCAGCTGGTCTTAAATGCAATCACGTACTTTCACTGGCTTCTGGTTTATCAAAGAGTTATTTTCAAGATATGTTTAACTGATTTTAAATGTGTTAAAGGAGTTGCCCCCAAATATTTAACTGACAGTCATTCCTAGAGCAATGCCACTGCTGAGTCAAACATTGCGCTCTGACAATTTAGGTTTACTGTTTGTACCTGACACAAACTTGGCTCTTGGTCGAAGGAATTTCTCCGTAATGGGTCCTGCCGTCTGGAATGGTTTGCCTAGGGACCTTCGTGATTTTGCAATGTCTGTTATTCAATTTCGTAAAAGGCTGAAACACCATCTCTCTGTCCAAGCTTACCCGTCCTAATGTCTTCTTCTCTCCATTCATTGCATTCCTTCAATAAAGAGCTACGCAACGTACTGCAATAAAATCGTTAGCGCCTCTGAGATCTTTTTAAAGGGAGCTTACAAACACACCAATAATAATAATACATACATACATACATACATATATATACAAACATTTATCTCTATTTAAAAATAAAAGACAAAAATAAACAATAAAATACGGACAACTAAAAACCACGTGATATATTACAAAACTCCATAGAACCGAGAACAGAAAAATATAAAAATGGAAATAAACAAACAAAAATAAGTATAGTACGTCGAAAGAAAAATAAAAAAAAGGTTTTTCATTTTGTATTTTTATAAAGATAGATGCACAACATACATAAACAAACGCACTTCGTTTTTTTTTTCTTTCTCTCTCTCTCTCTCACTATATATATATATATATATATATGTGTGTGTGTGTGTGTGTGTGTGTCTGTGTGTAGATATGTAGGTGTGTGTAGGTGTGGTGTCTTCAGGTGTTGAATAACTGAAAAAATTTCTTTTATAATGAAATTGACAATGTGAACATAGGTTCAGCTCGATTGTTTTTTAATTATTATCATTTAATATAATTATTATTTAATATAATTATTATTTATTATTATGGTTATTCCATTATTATGGTAATAATAATAATTATTCTTATTATTATTGTTGTTACAATCATTACTATTTTTTTCATCATAGCTGTGGTACTTGCCGCATGTTAAAGTCTTTTAAATTGTTTGAGCAACAAAATTCAAAACCCCTTCCATATGTATTATTATTAATATTATTATTATTATTATTATTATTATTATTATTCAACCTATTAATAATATTATTATTGTTATTATTGTCGTCAGCAGAGTAGTCACCATCGTTTGAATTCTTACTGTCGGAGTTAATTATATAACAACTGTTATAATTATTTTTGCTATTATTGCTATTATTATTATTATTATTATTATTATTATTATTATTATTATTATTGCTATCAGTATTGTTGTTGTTATTTCTATTAATATTATTATTGTTGTTGTTGTTGTTTTTGTTGCCAAAATTAATTTCGTCATCAGAGTCAGTGTATGTGGTGTTGTTGTATGGGATAATACTTGTTCTTTTTGTTAGTAAACAATCACATATCTTTTCCGTTGTTTGTTGCTGTTGATGTTGACGATGTTGTTGATGATGTTGTTGTTGTTGTTGTAACAAAAATGGCGGTTCTTGTGGATAATATTGATGTTGTTGTAGATGTTGTTGTTGCGGTTGTTGTTGCTGTTGTTGCTGGTGTTGTCTCTCAACCGTCGCATAATTGCAACTGAGACACATGAAGCATTGCGGAAACTCGTGAATTTTTTTTGAAAAAATTTCTTGGGATGTTTTTTGAAAATTTGGCGCCAATGACGTCACAGTATTAGACGGGAGTGTCTCTGGTTTAGTTGAGCAGTTTGAAGAAAATGGCGGGAAACTTGTTGCCGCTTGGTTAAAATCCAAAATTTTGTCTACAGTGCTGCTGCCCGATTCCAAATCAGATAGCAACATTGTCAGCTCAATGTTTTCAGGATTTTCATTTTCAAGTAAATTTTTGTTGAGAAAAATTTGTTGTCGATTGTCAACGTAGACATCTGCGTGCTGGTGGTTGTAATAAAGATACTGAAGATGATGTTGTTGTTGTTGTTGCTGTTGTTGAATGTTGATGTCTTTGTCGTTGTTGCTGTTGTTCTTGTTGCTGTTGTCTTGTGTTAATCTTCTCGACGAATATAGCAAGCTGTGTGTGTGATTTTTTTTGTATATTTTGATGAGGCGAAAATGACGTCACGATAAATAAATACGCACATAAATAAAAAACATTAACACACACACATATACACACACACACAGAGAGAGAGAGAGAGAGAGAGAGAGAGAGAGAGAGAGAGAGGCATAAGGCATAAAATATACACACACAAACACTGTGAAGACCATGAACACACTAACGATACAACCCACATGTGCCTTCCTCTTCAATACAGGCAAACTCAAAAGCTAATAAAAACATCAATGTAAAAAAAATAACACAGACACAAATACAGACATACAGACAGTCACAGACAGACATACAGACAGACAGACACATACAGACAGACATACAGACACTCACCGATTTTTCTTCAGCACATGCATGCTAATTAGCAGTGCCAATCCAACGATGATGCCCAACACGATACCAGACAGCACGGCCACAAACACGCCTAAAATAAGAAGTTTATTTAATAATACCGTGAGTTAGTTATAACCATTAAAATTTATAATAAGAATAATAATAATTTTATTATTTTTATGGTTTTTTATTATGGAAAATATAATC